CAATTATATATATATCCTTATATATATTGTGTGTATATATATATATATTGTATATATATTGTGTATATATATATATATATATATATATACACACACACACACATACATAATCACAAAACCTCACTAGATGGTCTCCCTCTGGATAGAAGGCAGGCTTGTTTCCTATACAGGAAAATGTCTCCCTCTAGGGCAATGTCAGACAGGTTACCCATAGCAAGCTCAGTACTGAAGACTCAAGTTCCCTAAATTCGAAATCCCTCTCTTTTTTTTTTTTTTTTGGGGGGGGGGAGGTCTGGTCATGGGCCTGAACTCTGGGCCTGGGCACTGTCCCTCATAAATTCAGCTCAAGGCTAGCCCTCTACCACTTGAGCCACAGTGCCACTTCTGGCCTATTTTCTTTTTGCTTATGTGGTACTGAGGAATCGAACCCAGGGCCTCATGCATGCAAGGCAAGCGCTCTACCACTGAGCCACCTTCCCAGCCCCGAAATCCCTCTCTTGTAATACAACCTACTTCATGTGCTACTGTTATCTTGCCCTTGTGCCATCTCTGTGGAAAATGGGCTCCAGGGTTCAGAAGATGATATTCTCTGGTTACTGCCCTTGCTGTACTTGTCTCTGACTTAGGAGTTCTCACATCTGCTAACATCCATGAATCTCTTTTATTTTCTGAGTATACAATCTCAAACTCTTGACCATTATGGCAATATGGCAAAAGCAGCATTCTTACAAATTGTGTAAACCTTTACTCCTAGAAACTATCTTTCTCAAAGAGAACTATGGCAGAATTTCTGAAAATTTAAAATGTACATACAGCCTTTGACCTAGCAATTTAAGTATCTACATTAACACAACAAACAAACATGCAAGTACAGTAGTACATAGCAGTTCACCCTTCCTCTCCAGGAGATATATTTCAACACCCCCCCATCTGTGGATGACTGAAGTAGGGGTTAGTAGGGAAGTCTATAAGCATACATTATTCATTGACTAACTGGCTTTGAACACACATGGTCAAAAAAATTAAACATTTTAAAACAAAAAATTTTAATTTGAATGTACACAGTATGCATCTCAGTTGATGTAGAGTTCAAAGTTATATGAACAATATCATCTGTTGTGTTAAAATTATCATGTGATATTTCTTTGTCCTTGATTTTGTAAAAATGCCTCCCAAAAAGTAAATGTGCCCCCGAAAAAAAACAAAGTAAAAGTTATGGCAAGCTTCCCAAACCCATATTTTATGATGGCTTAAGGTGATAAAGTGAATTTTTTAGATTTCTTGAAAGGCAGTTATGTTTTTAGCAGTAGTTGGGCCATGTTATGGGGAAAAACGAATCACATATCTTCAGTGTTGGGCATAAAAACATGGTGAGCAGTATCAGTGTATACAGAAGTAATTTCTGTATACAATAGTAATTTCTGTGACAATAATGTAGCCTACTCCATGTGGTTCCAAGTTATGGGTGCCAGATGTATGGCATAGGTAAATTTGAGTAATATTAGAACATTGAACTTTGAACATTCATGACTTTTCCTCATTGGTCTCCTTGGAACCATATACCTATGGATACCAAGGGTCTACTGTACATATATACCTAAACTTTGACCTCTCACTTAAAGGAAACACTTGACAGCTTTAATTGTATTTAGCATATCTGACTTTCCAGCATCACTACTTGTGAACTTTGGATCCACTTATAAATAAGGGAGACTTCACTTAAGCCTTATAAAATCATGACAGTTAATCTGATAACCATGTGTCTCCCAAGTGACAGGTAGATGGCAAAAGCAATATGAATATGTTGGGCAATATGTGATTCATGGAGCATAAAGGTATGACAATGCATATACTATACAGAATAGTGCACTATTTAAAATTTATGAATTGTTTAGCTTTGGGATCTATTTAATATTTTTAAAATGAAGTTGATTATAGATAAGAAAAATCATAGAAAGAATTGAAGACAAGGGAAACGATTGAACAAACAGAAATGATTCTATAATTCATTTGTACAGAATTTCATTTGTTATAGAAACAAATTTGAAGTATCCTAAATATCAAGAGAGGAAAATAAAGCTGGGCACCAGTGACTCACAACTGTAATCCTAGCTACTCAGGAGGCTGAGATCTGTGGATCATGGTTCAAAGCTAGCCCAGGCAGGAAAGTTTGTGAGACTCTTTATCTCCAATAAACCACCAGAAAACCGGAAGTGACACTGTAGCTCAAGTGGTAGAGCGCTAGCCTTGAGCTGAAGAGCTGAGGAACAGCACCCAGGACCAAAGTTTAAGGCCCACAACTGACAAAAAATAGAAATAAAAATAAAAAAAGAAAACAAATTGTAGGCTATTCCTATAATAAAACACCAAAAGAACTTTCAAAAAGGTAATATACTTACACTGATGTGAAGAGATGTTCACCAATTATTGTGGTGAATAGAAGCTGCAGAAAATGATATATGGTAAACTATCATTTATGAAACAAATGTACATTTATACATACTGACATCTGGATGGTGAGAAAGTTATCATGATTTTTTTTTAATGGCAGTACGGGGTTTGATCACTTGAACAATGACTCCAGTCCTGTTTTTTGTGGGTTATTTTTGACATCAAATCTCACTTTCTACCTATATACACTCTTGAGCTATGATTTGCCTACTATAGGCTTCCTATCTTTGCTGGGATCACAGGGATGAACCACTACATCCAGCTTCCTTTTGTAGAAATGGAGTCACACTATTCTGCCTAAGCTGGCTTGGAAAAGTGGTTCCCCCTCCCAACCCTCCCACTCCCAGGCCAAGTAGCTAGGGCTACAGGTACAAGCCACCAACACCTAGTTCATACAGTGATGATCTTTGTGAAACTGAGTTGCTGATTCATGGGCACGTAACACCTTCCCTTGTTCCTTTAACAATTTCTGCTTCACACAGTTAATGTATACACTTACTTCATGAATTTGTAAGATCTGTGTCAATTAACTCAATTAACAATATCTGAAAATTTATATCTGAGATATCCAGTTAGGATGGTAAAATACAAATGGGCAAGAGGCTCTCATCTGACCAATCACTTCAATAGACATTTATCTCCCATCAGTGCTGGAAACAAGTACAGAATGACTTGTACTGGGGCTGAGGAAGAGACACACACTACACACACAACACACAAAATCAGGTAGCTTCTCTAAGCTGCTGGGAAGCAACTCTACATGGGTAGTTCTGAGTAAGTAACAGAGGGGATTTATTTATTTAACAGTGGTTAAATAAATAAGAGGTACAAAACCTAATGAAGAGGTACAAAACCTAAGCAGAGGTGTGGAGGACAAGACACCAGGTGAGAAAGTGATTCAAATTGTGCTCACTAATATTCATTCCAAATGTATTTAGTGATTTCTACAAAATGCCTGACATTGTAAAACATCAGTAGACATTAAAACATATTATAAAGATACAGTAACAGAAGCAGTATGGTATCATCACAAGAAGTCAGATATAACTGATCAATAGTTCAGAAAGAGCCTCAAATTACAGAAATTAGTGCTCCTGATATAGGTAGGTGGGGGTAGTATGTAGATGGATAGATGGATTGATCGATAGATAGACAATAGACAGACAGATAAACAGACAGATTATAGGGTTAGATAGATCCTTATACCAGGGAAAAGCAGAATTTAACAAATGATGGAGTTGCTCACCACTACAACAAAAAGGTAGACCTTACCTCATATCTCACACCAAAATTGATTAAGACTATTAATAGTACCAGAAAAAAAATGAGGGCATTCACAAACCACTTATTCAAAGGATCCATGGTTAGCTTGGCATATGTTGACTAGGGCAAAATTAAAGAGGATGAGCACAATAGGATTACTACTGTAAAGGAAATGATATTTTAAACTACCACTGTATGGGGCCTAGACTGATCACGATACAGTAAAAGAAATGATCATTTGTACATGGCGTTGACCCCTCTGGTTGTCAAGTCAGTGACTGAAAGGAAGAACATGAAAGTGCAGGGCTTAGAATAGTCAAATTTGGGGACGGCAGGTGGTTTGTTTGTTTTTAATTTAGTACGCAGAAGAGTGGGGAGAAGTCAATTCAACACTTAAAGAGTGCGCATCTTCTGAGGCGACCCACACTGCCAACTGGAAGGACAACGACAGTGCTCCTTGTCCCTAGAACGTCGCGTTCGATAAAGAAGAGGTGCCCCTCTACTCTACCAATAGGGCCACAGAAGCATGAAGGGGGGGGGGGGGAAATGTATCCATTTTCCTGAATTTAAACCAAGGACTGCACGCCGAAAATGGAACTGTGGTTTGGAAAGAGATTAGAACCGGAGAGACCTTTGAACCTGCGGGCCGAGAGCTCTCCAAGGACCAGAAGTCACATACAAGGAACAGTCGAAGGCAACAGATAACCACGATTTCCTATTCCTTAATCTTCCCGAGTACTCGCCGAGTTCGGTTGAGCGACTGCACGCCGGGGCTCCACCGTCCCTTTGGAAATTGCCAACCCCCCCCACCCCCCCCACTGCAGACAGGCTGACCCGGATGGATCGATGGTCCTCCTCACTAAACCCAGGAAGGAGGCCGCCGCCGAGCACGCCGTGGCAGTCCCGAAGAAGGACGGACGGCGCGCCCCAGCTGTCACGTGGGTCCCCGCGTAGCAGGGACCGGGCAACAAGTCCGCGGCCCCGAGCGGCGCACGCGCACGCGCGGCGGCGGCCAGGGCCCCGCGGGCCTCAACCCTGCGCCTTCTCAAGCCGGACCTCGGGCCCAGCGGACGCCCGGGCCCAGGCACCCCCCCCGGCCCCCACCAACCCCTCCGCAAGCCCCGCAGGCGCAGCACGGCGGGCGAGGGGAAGGAGCCCGCAGGGGGGAGGTGGGGGGGGCCTCGGCCCTGCTCCCAGGCTCCCCAAACCGCGGCGCCCCGGCCCCGCCCCCGCGGCGACGGAGGAAGACAGACGCTCAGGAGGGAGAAGGAAATAATGAGCCGTACCCTGCGGGGTCCGGGAGAGGCGCGCGCCGAGGGCTTCACCCCGCCCTGACCCGGCGGCGCGGGAAAGGCCTGGGCGCGAGGGCGGCTGCCGGGCTGTGGCGCGGCGGCACCACGGCGGCCAGCCCGGACGGGCGCGACCCGGAAGGAAGAAGCGGAGGCCAAGGGGCGGGACGGATGGAAGGGGCGGGGCTTCTCAGTGGGTGGGGCTGGAAGGTGGGCGGGGCTTTGCCTTGGGGGCGGCCGTGGGCGAGTCCAGGAAGGCGGCACGCCCAGGCCGAAGGCAGCCCTATTCTAGAAGGTGCTGAGCCAGTGGTAGGTACTCTGTAAATGGCCTCATTACTCTGTAGTCGGCGTTGGTTGCAGATCTTCTGCCTCATCTCCTCTGAGCACCAGCCTGCCAGCTGCAGTGTAGTCCTCTGCTGAGGCTTCTTCAAAGTTGGTGACTCAGGTGGTGGATTATGGCCTGGGACCCCTCTGCAGAGAAACTATGGAGCATGTGCCTAATGCGCTCTGAAGACATAATTCAGCACTGTAGCGAACCACTGCAGCCTCACATACAAAGCCACCCCTCAGGAGCATTTCTATCTAACATTCGAAAGCCCAAGACCGTTTATTACATCTGATGAAGATGCCACCACTGTTCTGTTAGTTAAGGTTAAATATTTTGAGTAGGTAGGGTATGATCCTTTCCTTGGCTAAATCATATTCATCTTATTACAAGGTTTCTGTTAAAATGGAAAACTTAAAAAAAAAAAGTCGAGTCACATTATGTCCTGTCTAATTGCTCACAGAGGCAAAATAGTAAAAATGTTTATTATATACATACAAGCACATAGATGAAGCCAATATAGGATGTGCAAGGTAGTTTATATACAAAAATGGAAATACGGATAAAGGAATTGGAACTTAATCCATATCCCTCAATTTTGAGTTGGCTATTGCTTAGTTACTTGCTTCTTAAGAATAGAGTATTGGAGAGGGGAAAAGAGCAACTTTATGGGGGGAACCACATAAATACAACTCTGGCCAGACAAAGGTTAACACCATCAGTGATATGTCAATAGCAAGCACCCTGAAATGGTGCAATGTAAAGGGCATTGTCTTGTTAGCAGTAAGGGGAACAAATGAGCAGTAATGGGAAACTCTCTGTACTGTCATTGTAACTTTTCTGTGAATCTGAATCTATTTTTAAACAGAAATTTGATTAAAATAAATTGATTTATTAATGAGTAAATAAAACTGACCCTTTTAATACTTGCTAGTGAGGCCTAATTGCATTGCTGGCTATGGGGAGCTCAAATCCTGTTTACAGGAGTTTCTCATTCCTAATGTAATTTCCAAATAAATGTTTTACTGAAGTATTAAATATACTCAGAATATGACACAAAATATGAGCATAGGCTTTGATGAAAAGGGAACATATTTATGTATTCAGCATTCTTCTAAGAAAAAGATAATTACTAGCACTGGGAAGTCCCTTATAGATCCCTTTAAATTCTTCCCAATACTCCTTCTCCAAATTAACCATGATCCTGACTTTTAACACTAGAATTTAATTTTGCTAAGTTTTGACTTTAAGTATATGGGATCTTATATTATCCACTCTTTGGAATCTGTCTTTTTTCTATCAAATTATGTTTATAAGAGTCACTCACATTATTGAGGGTAGAAGTTGTTTCTTCAGTTTCTATTACTAAGCCAAAATTTATTCTGCTTTTGATGTACAGTGAGCTGGGTTTTTTTAAAAAATAGTTTCTAAAATTGCATATGCTGCTGCTTTTCACATTCTTGTTCATCTTTTTTGAAAGATTTCTATATACTTTCATCTCAGTGTTTAAGAGGCATAACAAGTGCTCTTGTTCATTTTGGTCAGTGGTTTTGTTGTTGTTTATTTGCTTGTTTGTTTGAGCTGTTAGAATTTGAACTTGAGGCCTCAAGTATTTTTATTCTTAATGACACATATTAACTGCTCAGAAAGTAAATACTTATTTTAAAAAAGGAAAAAGCCTAGGGAAAAGTTCCATTTTTGTGACAAATGAAAGAAAGGTTAGTCATGACTGCCCAAATAGCCCTTCCTCCAACCTTTTTATTTTAAGGTCCACACTGTGGACATACTTGTTCTGCTGGTAAGGAAAACCAAGTGAGCCCAAAGAAAAGAGTGATGCCTATCTCACAAATGGCCCTGATATAATGGGTGAACTAATGCCTAGTTATTAAATGGAATGTTGTTTGGGGCTGAATAGCATCCCACACTGTATCAGCACTATTACAAATAAAGAAAGCCCCAACAAGGCTTAATTGTGCCTAAAGTCACCAACTCAGCAACCTGGTTATGATCCATTTTATGTTAGCCTCAAAAGTCCCAATGTGCTACTTAAATGAAGAGGTGGGCAAAGAAATAGCAGGTTCAATACTTTGTCCCAAACTCTTGAAACATATCAACCCCTTCACTATTTTCAAGTGATTTTTCTTTATCTTAGAATGACATATCTATAAGTTGTAAGATTTAAGGGTTATGAGCCTGCATGAAAATAAAGTACCTTATCAAAAGGGCTGAGATCTCATTCAGAAGACTGCAGAAGCCTAAAAACGTCTTCACAGTGAGTTCCCGTAAGTTCCCAATAAGTTCTTCTCTCTAGTCTCTACTCAAGACTTCTTAGAAAATCTAACTCCAAGCCTGGCACCGGTGGCTCATGCCTGTAAACCATAGCTACAAAGGAGCCTGAGATCTGAGGACCATGGTTCAAAGCCAGCCCAGACAGGAAAGTCTATGAGACTCTTATCTCCAATAAACCACCAGAAAACTGGAAGTGATGACATGGCTCTAGTGGTGGAATGCTCACCTTGAGCTGAAGAACTCAGGGGCAGTGCCCAGACCTCGAGTGCAGACCCCATGACCACCAAAAATGAAAAAAAAGAAAAAGTAACTCCATACATTTTCAACCTAACTCACCCAATATACCCGACCTTTCTAAGAAATTTTCAAAGGAACTACTTTGATGGAAAGTAGAGTTCAAAAATCTTGACATGCCAATAGGCAAAAAGCATAAATAATGGCCAATAAGAAATTAATAAAGAGCATAAACAATAGCTGATCAGAGTTTCTTTTTTGATCCCATTATAGGCCATAATTTTATTTAGTTATTTATTTTCATTTTAACGTTAATAGTTCATGATATTGTTCTAAAAATAGTCACAGCCTTGATGACAAAAATTATCCAAATTTTAAACAGGTACAAAGGCCCACACTCATGAAATCCAAACTCCCCCTCATTTTTTATGCAAACGAGGAAACAGATTCAAGAAGAGATTGAGCCAATTCCTTAAATCCTAGTTAGAGCTGTCAAGCAAACTCAGTTCTCCATTTTTAAATCAGAGGGTTTTGTTTTAATCATAATGCATTACTTTACAATTCAGTAAAAATTAATCATGTTCTTATATTACCATATCTTTGAAAGAACTGAGTATGGTATATGGAAACTGAACTTGATCGTAGGAAGATCTGTCTATCTAGCCTGCCATGTTAATAAGCTGGTGATATTGTATAAGTTACAACTTCTCTGAGCTTGTTGGCACTTCTATGAAATATGCCTAACTCACAGCCACTGAAGAGATTTAAATGAAATCATGTATGTGAAAGTACTTTATGAGTGATAAAATAGTATGCAAATGTATGAAGATTATTAAAACATGTCGAAGATCAGTAATTGAACCTTTCCAGTGCAAAATGTCAGAATAGGACCTTCAAGTTCATGTGAGTATAACTTTTAATTATCACCAGAAAAGAATGAAGCCCAGAAAGACTGGATAATTCATCCAAAGATAAATGGCAAGTGACTTTCAAAGCCAAAACTTGAATGCAAGTCTCCTATAGCTTCCAATGAGCAATTTCCAATCTTTTCAATTAGTGAATATGGAATAAAATTACTAAGTTGGCTTAAAATAATATGATAAAATAGTAAAATGATTTTAAAGGCCTGCAGAGTATCTTGAAGTATAGTTAAATAAATGAACATGTAACCAATTCTCTTGGTGCTGTTTTCATTTGTGCAGTTTCTTTTTCTGTTGTTTGGATCATATATTTGATAAATGAGCAATAAGAAAGTTTGTCTGGTGGGAATAATGGAAGAACTATCACAATGAGATAGAGGATAGACTAGTCATCTTTCTGAGTGACTTCATTTCTAAAATGAAGGAACCCAAAGCGAGGAAAATAGAAAGTTTATTCATGGTCAGAAACTCAGGTCTCAGTGAGGTACACTTATTTTCCTTCCTACTTTTTCCTTTCTGAAAGGTATAAGCTTCTTTAAAAACTGTTAGGGGTCTATTCAGTGACATGGTACTGTACAAAAGAACCCCCCCAAAAACAAAAAAACATAGATTTTGCATCTATACAGGCAAACCAAAAGTGTTGTGACTATCAGAGAGTTTCAGTACAAATCATCCATGTAATAAAAGCTTTTCAATGTTAACTTTTATTCTCAATGAATACTTTTTTTTTTTAATGTATTGGGCCACACCCAAGGCCTTATATATAGTGGAGAAAGACTCAATTGCTGAACTACATGCCAGCACATCAGTGGTGATTTTAAGTGGCTAAATTACCTATTTACATTTCCACAACCATTACTGTTCTTTCTTCATGCTAACTCAGCCTAGGTTTCTAAAACAAATATCTGGTGATAATAATTTTCCAGCTTATTCTAAAAATGAATAAATGCATCCTGTTTTTGTTATTGAGCCATGAATATTTTATATAGAATTTATACAGTAAACATAAATGACCAATAATTTGTGAAGTATAAAATGAAATCATATATATATATATATATATATTTCTCCATATCTCTCCTGAAATCTTGGTGAAGGGACAACAATAACTTGACAAAGAGCTTCCTTAAAAGTACATCTCCAAGCCGGGCACCGGTGGCTCACGCCTGTAATCCTAGCTACTCAGGAGACAGAGATCTGAGGATCACGGTTCAAAGCCAGCCCGGGCAGGAAAGTCCATGAGACTCTTATCTCCAATAAACCACTCAGAAAACCAGAAGTGGCGCAGTGGCTCAAGTGGTAGAGCGCTTGCCTTGTGCTGAAGAGCTGAGGGACAGTGCTCAGGCCCAG